CCATCTTTGCAAATTGCAGTGGGCAGCAATCAGAGACACTAAACCCATCATTTTCTGTGAGAAAGTGGGTGTTTTAGCCCAGTGGATAGCAAAATGTGGGGCAGGAGACAGCCTCCCAACACATGCAGCTTTTTAAACTTAAAACATAGTATTCCAGTGCAATGCAAACTCCAAATGCTTTGTTTTTAGACAAACACATACATACTAGTACACCCTTTTAAGAAGAGTTACTAAGGTGTGTCACTAAGGTGTGTCTGCACTGAAATGGCCAGAGGATGAACACGTTCTCTTCAGTCACTATCCAGTTCCAAGATTTGTTGTTGCCCCCATCTTACACTCCTGGTGGGCCAGACTGGAGGATTGCGAGGAGCAGTGACCAGTCTCTGGTTTGGACGATCTTGCTTTCAGCAGCTTGCCCCAAACACAGAAGGGTGAAAGCAGCTTTGTTTGTTTGGTTTGGTTTTTTAGTTATATGTATTTAAGACATTACAAAATGTTCTGCTGAGATACTTATGCGTTTTAGAGTTGGACCTGTGCCTTCAAGGGGTGACACATCTGATGACCCTTCAGAGGAGACCTCCTCCTCCTAGTGTCACAGCTCCAAGGTGCTGCCTGAAAGGGTGTTTGCTGCCAGTTAGCCTCAAGACTTTCCTGAACCAAAGCTAATGTGCTTCCATTTCTGAAATCGAAAAAGGCAGTGATCTGTGTGTCAGCAGCCCTATCGACAGCTCCCGTGTGGGTTTCAGACATGGAAGTACATTTAGGAGAAGTTGCAGAAATTTCTTGTATCCTAATGGAATAAATTCTGATTTGCCAAGAAGCATCTGCCTGACTTCTACCACAGTCCTCATCAGCAGGATCGGACATGCTCTTCTGTAACCACAGTGTAATTGCTCACAGTTTGTGGGTTGGGCTCCAGTGATTGACTAGAGCCGTTATTCCCCTGCAAACAGAAGGGAAAACACCATTCCCTAAAACCTGGCTAAAGGAAGTTTTGTTTGGCATGCATTAGCCCATACTTGCAAAGCTGAAGGCTGTATACAGGGTTGGTTAGCACAGATCACCCGAAGTGTAGTCAACAGATGCGTTAGGATTAATGGAGTTGTTTGAACTCTGTGATAACATTTATAGGAAAAGTTCATTAGATCCACATCTGCAAATTATAAAACCTTCTACCCTGTTTGGGGTTTGTTATCTGTAGAGATCACTGTGAAAGATGGAACAGCTGTGAGAGCTATTATTCAAGTTGATATATAATAATTGCAAGAAAAGGTAGAGTGTTTAGCCAAATGAGATGAAGAACAGATTTGCAACAGGATCATTAAATTCATGTTCCTTAGCTCTCAGGAGCAGGTGTGAATTGAAAGGAAAGGCACGAGTGAGATCCTCAAGCCCACTGAGATTGGTGTTCATAAGAACATCTTCTGGATTTGTCACGGCAGTGCTCATCAGAGGAGGAACTGGGGCGAGCAGGAGAGTGAAGAAGACAGCTTTCTCCTGCAGAGGAAAGTAATCTACAGAGGTGTACTCAGTAGCTCTGTTATGTATATCATTGGTTTCCAAGACCTTAACATCCTTATTTTATTGATGAGAACAGTTAGAGCTTCAGTTGCTTGCAGGGTATTTGGCTCCAGACTGGTCCTTGGTCTTGAGGAAGCCGGTGCTGGAGGACTGTGCCATCAGCAGAGATATCAGAGTGGAGTTGATGAGGGATATCAGTGCCTTTGGTCCAGCTGAGTGGCAGCTTGTCATGCCAGCAGTTACTCTGGTTTAGTGACCAGCCAGTTGTTGAGGTAGATGACAAATCTTGACTGGCCTCTAGCTTGAGAGGGGCAAGAAGCAGCTGAGTGCTAATTGACCTTCTCCTCCCAATGCCCCCATCTTGGAAAGGGACAGCTCTTGCTGCTGCAGGGCTGCTCTTCCCCTAAGGGTTTGCTGGTCCTGTCTTAGCTGTTTGTCCCAACTCAGGGACCAGGACAAGGGCTTAGTGACTCCCAGGAGCAGACTTTTACAGAACACCATCAGAGAGAGGCGCAGCCCGGAGAGGTGTCTTTTCCCTCCCCTGGCTCTGGTGAAGACTGCAGGGATTATCTGGGGATAAAAGAAACTTCTCTTGCTTTGGGCTCTGTATAGGAAAACAGTCACTTTTATCAACCACTTGGCACGTGTGCTTCAGTGAGGTAGAGGAGGCATGCGGGGTCTCCATAATTAATTATTTTCTCAGAGGAGGGGATAAAACCTGAGTCCTTGAAACTTAGATTCCCTTCTGGTGCTGAGAGGAGGGGAATAAGGGAGGTATTATTAGAAAGCATTTCTTTTATTTAACAGATGTTAAATAGCACTATACCACTATATCAATCTGTCAAGTATACTAATAGAAAACAGGGTATAGAAAAGTTGAGATGTGAATTTCACAGGGAAACAACCGCCCCCTTCCTGCAGGATCCTGGGTTTGGGTCTGGGGGCCAGCGTGAAGCACGAGGAGCAGCCGCACATATGCCAGGCACATGTGGATGGAGAGGGGAAGGAATAGTTGTGGACTACAACAAAAAGAACTTGTTGCAGCTGGAAAGGTTTTCACCCACCCTGTCCTGGTTGTTGCAGTTGAAACTGGATTAAAAATATTTTTAAAGCAGGGATCACATGTATCTCTTGGTTTTTACAATGTGTGCCCGTATATCATGCTATGGGTTTCAGTGGTGTTAATCAGCATTTTCAGAACCTTGGTGGATTAAAGTCTGGAGGAGAAAAACAAACCTCTACTGGATGATTAAAGGTTGAGAAGCAAGCCTGGCTTTGCAGTAGCATGCATGGTCCCAAGTCAGACCCAGAGCGATGGTATTTTCTCCTCAGACACTGCGTTGGTTCCTTAAACTTGTCCTGGTGATCCCCAGCCACTGACTATGACTGCAGGCAGCTCAGCTCAGTACAGTTTTATTAACATAGCTGCCTGGAGCCCAAGGTTAAGTGATGAGAATTTCAAAACAAAACAATAAATTAATAAAATGAATGTGTCATCAGCTGATCCTCTTCTGACCACCATCTGTCCCCTGATCATGTGATGTCTCCCAGCTGGCCACCCAAGAGACAAACCATGCAAGATCATCATCACAACATATGCTGCTATTTACACATTTTTAAAGGTAATAGTTGCTAGGCTGTCATATTAGTAGTTAAAAGCAGTTATTTGGAAGCTAGGGGATTTTTTTTTTATTATTTCTCTCTCTCTCTTTTTTTTTTTTTCCTTAGGAAGGCAGTGACTCAGCAGGTATATTTCTGACAGAGACGTTCAGGGTTGTATCAGTGGAAGTTCCTATGTACAGTTTATGTGATTCCCCCCCACCAGCCCCTTCCCTTATTCTGTGGTATGCTGTTGTGCCTCTTGTAATAAACAGTAGAATAAATAAAATAGAAAGAAGGCAATGATACTACAAATATCACTAGTGTACCTTTAAGGCACATTATGTGCTCCCTTTGCCATCTCTAGGATGCAAACCAAGCTGTGCATTTTTAAACTATTGTTAAGATCAAGGATGTGGTTATGAGAAGACTTACAATTTATAGGATACTTAAGCATTAAGGATTGAGGCACAGAACATTTCCTGGGGATTAACGACTGACTGGGTGAGCCTCAGGCCATTAACCCCTGCCTGCCATTAATCTTCAGGAAATGCCCTGCAGTGAGGTCGTTATTGCTGTTATATGCTGAAACAGAAAAATAATAAGAAGAAAGGTCCGTGGTTTATTTATTTATATTTTACATAACACGATTCAATTGGGACTGTAGGAAATGCACATCTTTTTCTTTATCTGGTTGTACTGCTGGAATTAATGCAGTTCCTGCATCTCCCTCATTTGTGAAAGATTATTGTCAGATTGCAGGAGTGTAAGAGTGGCAGGATTTGGCCCACTGCTTGTATTTAATACAATGAATAAGCGGTTCTTCTCTGGTATAACTGCTGGCAGAATTTAGCCCTATATAAACCCCAGCTCAAAATGCTTGTTTTACAGCAAAGCAATTTATTCGCAGTTCTAAGCATCTCACAGCCTTTTTTTAACTCATTGAATAATCCTTTTAGGTTGCCCATAAAGCAGGTGAAATGCTTCTGCTGCAGTCCTAAGGCAGAACACAGGCTGCATAAATAGCATCTAAATTACTAGGAATACAAAATACACATACAGTAATACATACCTACAAAGGCAAATTCATACTGACAGGACTGCAGTGTGTGCTTATCAGCAGCAAAACATCTCAGGGAAAAAAGTGGCTTTATATTGAAATTTTATATACATTTCTCTCTGTATTTAAACACTTAAATACTATTTTGTGCATGGTCTAAAACCCAGATGCAGGCTCCTTTTTAGTGAGCCTGCCTGCTTAAACATTTATTAGCTTAGAGATGTATAGTTTTCATAAAGCTGGCTGATTCTTTTTGCAGAATATCTTTGCAAAAAAAAAAGCTTTTTTTTTTGTGTACATGGCCTCAGTCCTTGCAACCTCCTAGAGAGTCTGTCAAGGCGCAACTTAAAAGCTCGTTCAGGCGACCATGACCCCCTGCTAGCAGATTGTCTGCCTAAAAGGTAAGGGAAAGCTAAAAAAGAAGTAGAAACTTAAAAGTAGCTTCTCAAAGGCTGCATAGATCTTTTTTTTGTTAAACCTAAAGTGTTTAAAAGCTTTAATATTGATGGCCTGTCAACTTTGTCCTGATTCTTTGGCTTTCAGTTAAAAGGTTTTTGTTGTTGTAGCTTATGCAGTTGCTCTGTTGCTATGGAAACGTGACATCAAAATGACGTTTCTCTGTTTAAAAGCTTTTAACTAAATTCCTGCCTGTCAGATGTAGGCCCCATTTTGTGCACTCAAGCTTCAAGCTGTTGCAAAAAGGTTTCATATGTTCTGTTGTCATTCAAATTCTTTATCCACATATGCATGTCTTGCACTACAAAAAACCTAAACTAAAAACTCAATCTATATTAAGTGTCCTCTTTTAAAACCCTTTTAGGTCAGTCAGCAATGGCTGCAGCAGAAATTCCCAGTTACATTGTCTCTTCTCAGACTGAGAAACACAGGAGGGCCAGGAACTGGACTGATGCAGAAATGAGAGGTTTAATGCTGGTTTGGGAAGAATTTTTTGATGAGCTGAAACAAACTAAAAGGAATGCCAAAGTTTATGAGAAAATGGCTAACAAACTCTTTGAAATGACTGGAGAAATTCGCCACGGAGAGGAAATAAAGATAAAAATTACAAATATGACATTCCAGTACAGGTAAGCTTCAGTTCATTCTTTTTATTTTAAGAGATTTTAGCAGGGACGGCGCAGTGATTTTTGCCTTTCAGAAAGAAGTCTCCTAGAGGAAATCTGTCGATAAAAGATTAAAGATTGTTCATATCGCTTTTAAAATTCTCTCTTGCCAATGCTGTTACGTCATTGTTAATTTTTCCCCCCATTTCATGTCAAACTCTGGGACAACTTTGTTTCTTTAAAATTAGCTGGCATTGTTATGATGCAGAGGGATGGAAATGTATTTAGTGGGGAAAAGAGATTTATTTTTTTTTTGCTCTTTGCTGAGGGGACTGATTGTGTTAGCTTGGAAGCCAGTTCCTTGCAGGGAAACTCCTGCAGTTTGAAGTGGCCACTGAGAATCGGAATTGCAAGGCAAAGTTAAAAAAAAACTAGAAGAGAATAATGTTTGGGGGGGGCTGATGCTCCTAGATTTTGGTCTCGTGAGTTGAAGGGTTACACTTCATGGGGCCAAGAATAATTGAATGTCTTATTACTGAGTGACACACATTGCTATAATTATAAGCAGCAGCAGTGAAAGAACTATTATATCTGCAGAGAGAGAATCAATGTGCACCGTCAATACTGCTCCAAAGGAGTCGGGGGGAGGGCGGAGGTGTCTACAAGGGGATGATAAAGAACAGGCAGGCAGGCAGGAGGGGAAGTTGGCTTCAGAAAATGCGAGGCATTTGTGCATTTGTTGTATGCAGGAAGAAAAATAATTAGAACTTAACAGAAATATTTCCATGTCTTTTTTCTTTTTTTCTTTTTCTTTCTTTTTTTTTTTTTTTTTTAAATTCTTATCTCTGTGAGGCACAAACTGCCTCATACTGGAAATCCTGAGTGGTGATTTGAGCTATGTGCTTGTAATGCAAGAAAATCAAATATGTGACTCTTTTATTTAATCTCTCCTCAAAGCTCATATTAATAATAAAAAAGGTTATTACAGCAGGCAACCATGTTAAAACTGCTCGCTTTTCTGTAAGGCACCCTTACTGTATTTAGTGCAGAGACTGCTCATCAAATAGAAAACTAGGGAAAATCCTGTAAACCCCTTAACTTTGAATGTCCTTCTACATTTCTATGATCCACAAGCATAATGTTTAACATCATTTGCCATAATATTAAACCTGATGTTTTGTAGCAAATGCTGATGTCTCCAAAATGTTTTACTAACCCTGCTGTAATCCTGACAGTTTTCTTCACTCAGACTGTAGCCGAGAAAGCTGGAAGTAAGCTAAATTTTTGCCCAGCATCACCCCAGCAAGTCGGGAGTTGCTGGCTACCAGGCTTTTGCTTAGTCTGCTAAATCTGCAGTCCTCCCTGCTGAGAAATACATCTCGCGGCACTGAGATTTTACAGGTGTCTAGCAACACCGCACGATATTTAAGTGCCGTAATTGCCAAGTGGAATAGGTTATTTCTGTCAGCCTTTGTTCTAAATTTTCAGTGTTGTCATCAATTAGAGAGTCTCTTTTTTCTTTTTTTTTTCCTAATTAATGTTTTTACTTTAAAGTTGTACTGGGGGAAGGGGAGAAATAAGATCGCTCACATATATGCACTCTGTGTGTGTGTGTGTGAGAAACTGCACTTTAAAAAAATACCCTTCTATTTTGGTGAACTTCTAAGATTGCTTCTGTTGCATGTTGTCACGCTGCTTTTCTATTTTGCAGTGCATTGCAGCTCCCTGCTTATTGATTGAGATGCTAATTTTGGAGAGTTAGAAAACTGCCTTGCGCTGTCAGAGTGCTGTTTCATTTTGTACTCTTGAATATGAAATGCATCTTTTTATTGTTTGTTCAAAACCTGTGTGCTTTGCATTCAAGGTGAGGTGGTACAGAGAATAGGGACAAACAAAAGCTGTGACTTACAATATCTGTTTCTCTGGGTAATTTTTGGTGCTGTGTGAGGATAGGGAACGTTGTGATGAAACTGTAAATGATGTGAGTGGCCACTGAGTGCTGGCTTTGCTGTAAGGCAGCTGAGTTTTGATCCATGTTTTGGTGCCTGCAGGTCAGTTGAGGAAGATGCTTTACCTCACTGTATTTCTGGGCATCATCTCTGTACTGTGGCATAAACTGGAAAAGAAGATCCTGAGAGTAGGAAAATGCTCTATTTTGAGATAATAATTTGTAATGATTATGTAGGGTTAGTAAGTGTGACATGGGAGAATGTAGCACCAGTAGCAGGAATTAGGGGATGCTCTGCACCTGAGTGCTTATTTCTTCCCATCACTTCAGGGTCCTTTACTTTTTTAGGCAGCTGTTTACAGTGCTGCAAAGGTGGAGTGGTCTCTAGTCCACCTTTGACAGCCAGAAATGAACTGCATTAGTATATTTATGTGCCACAATTTCCTAAAGGAACATAAAATGCTGTCCTACAAATTGCTACACATGCCTATATGAATGGATACCTATATGTATATTTTTTCTATAAAAGGAAAAGCAGTACTTGAATATTTCTACTAATCTTTTTAACCAAGTTCAGTTTTAAAAGTGTTATCACTGGCATGTCTTATCCTGGGACATCTCTTGAAACAGGTATTATTGGTGCTTTCCAGTTTGAGGATCCCGTGGCATTTTAAGAGGCAGTTCAGTAAATACTGTTTTGTTTATTCTGCTCAGTGAAAGCCTTTCGTTATTGTGCAGAAGGTGTCAAAGTCATACAAACATATGAATAAGCAGAGGAGGAGCCTTTCTTATCCAGTAATTATTGCAGTTGCTGCAGCTAATGCAACTATGTACATGCCTGTGGTGGCAGGAGGCTCAGAATTTGCTCCCAGCCCAAGTATTCACCCTGGTTCTGGGTATGTTTGGATCCTGTGTGGGATTTTGCACTGCCACATGGTTAGTTCAGGTGTAGTTCAGTGCATGTGAGCATCTATCAGGAAAGCAATTTTAGAGTGAACACATCCCATTCCTCCACATCTGAGGTAAAAACATTATTCAGATGTTAAAATGCCATACAGAAATCTGTTTTATCTCATTATCTTCTCCTTGAATTCTTGTGTTTATTGCTGACTGCCCTATATTTCAGTGAGGCGACAAGAGAATGAGAAGTTGCTCAGAAAACACAGGCTGAGCTGTGGAAAGCTTCCTTTATTAAGAGAAATGGGAAAGTTTGTGAAGACCAAGAAATATAAAGAAGTTTTAGAGGTGCATAAAAATGTACACTACTATTTTTCAGAGTTTAAAGCAGATATTTTTTTGCCATAATACAAGAAGTTATTTATTAGAATTGTAAGGCAAGAAATGTAAAACTAGTTAAAGTCATATAAATTTGTATTGCACTGCATAATAAGCATGTGGAACTCATTACCACTGAAAATCATTGACACCAAGAGAGCAGCAGGTTGTTTTATTATTATTTTTAGTAAAAATTGGATTTATTAAATAAAAATGCAGATGTTGTTTATCTTCCAGTTAGGTAGAGTTATAAAAGACAACGTTTCAGGATATTACTAGCTGTCGATGGAAAAATAATCATGTTTTTATGGGTGAATGTGTCTCCAAAAGCTGTCTGTCAAAATCATTCTTGAAGTATTTAGCACTGACCTTTGTCAGAAGTGAGGCAGCAAGACGATGGGCTGATCTGGCAGCAGTTCCTGTTTTCCTCTGCATGACTGTAGTCCAAGTGCATTTGGAGGAAACTGTTCAGGGAAAAATATACCGTGACCTGAAATAATTCTTACTGGAGTCTCAGTATATTAAGGGACCATTTCATCCACCGTGCAAATTGACTGGATGGAAAATACTGCACAGCCCCATAGGTGGAAGGAAATTTTTTTTTTTGCAGGTGCATTTGAATAAAATTCTCCTTTTAGGTATTGCTGTAAAATCTGAAATATCTGCTGTGGATAGATCAGCCACAAGGTTTTTAATGTTTCATTTCAAAGACACCGTTGCAGTGAGCTGCATGAACCTCCCTATTTATCCATCTTGGAAGAAGGAAAGGCTGAGTCAAGCTTCCTGGATTTCAAAGTTAAGCTTTCTGATGCGCTGGTCATCAAAAGTTTTGCTGAGATTAGCATGGCAGCTCGTGCAGTTTAGCATCACACAGAGTATGTGCCAGATTCTTTTGTTATGTAGCCAGCTTGGGGCTATCAGCTCTTATGAACCTGTAATTAGTCCTTCTAAAAGAAAGCCCTGTCCTGTCACCACTAATATGCTGATCTTACTGTGTAACAGTGCACTGTGTCTGCTGTTAGAATATTGCCACTGACACAATACCCACTGGCTTACAAAAAGGGAGCAGGGCTTGTACAGCTTGCACAGTGGTCCACAGTTTTGACTGATTCCTTCTGATGTTTAAAAATAAGAACTGTGTGAATGCAAATTTATTATTTTAAAAAACATCACCCTCCCCAAAGCCTAGAAAACAGGATGCAGCTGTTGCTCTTTGATTTGAATCACAGTCAATTAATGTTAATGATTGGTAAATTTGAATCAGTCTCATGATTTGAATAAGAGTAGTCTAATTTTTTATTTCCATGTGTACATGACAGCAATTAAACATTGTTGCTTGTGTAACCTGTTGCTATACTCTATAACCTTAAGCAACTAGAATATTTGACCTCTGTTACAGAAAAGGATAAAATATAAGTGTAGGCAAATTACTGCAGAAAGCTGAATTTGGATATTTTACAGTCTTTCTCTTTAATTTCAATAATTTATAGCAGATGCACAACTTAACACTGTACTTTCATACATCTTTCCCTTCCTCACCATTCATTGGTTCATGAACAGTTGCTATTTATTATTTATTTTGAAAGCTTTTCCTAGAAACCCCAGGAGATGGATCTTGTATCCATTCCTTGAGGCAAGTAGTAATATCAAATACTGCAATAATAATAAAAAAGCAATACTATTTTGAGCAAAGCCTAGAAAAAGAGGCAAGCTATAGATTGCTTGCTTTTTGCTGACTAAATAATGATGATTTAAAAAAGTTCTGTAGAACATAATATGATAATTTTATTTTAGAAAGTGGATTAATAGGCACAGAGAATAAAGCCTGCAGAAAGGTCAATGGCAGCACAAATGACTCAACAGTTGTCTCAGTCCCTTCAGCAGAACAATTTGGCAGTAGAATCTCAAAGTCCATTAATTTATTCACTTATCTGGAATAAGACAAGCAACCACCTTTCAAATTACTGGGTTGGCATGCCTTAGATATTTGTCTGCTGGAAATCTGACTTTGTTCCCTGATTTTTTGGAGAGAGTTCTCAGTCGCCTCTGCTCTCAGCTGGATTTTAATAGAGCCTCATGAAAGAGCAACAGGTCTAGATAAACCCAGTGTGAAGTTGTTTCTCAGGCTCTGCTGACTTTCCTGCTTCCCCCTGTTTCTTACCTAATTTTTCTGCCTGCTTTGCTCACTCAGGCAGTGATTTGCCCAATTTCAAAGTGCACATCTTGCTCTCTCATTTCTGGACTATTGCATTCTAGCCTTCATATTGTACTGTTTCTTTTTAACATCTTCATGTTGCATTATAACAAACAACCAACCAAACTTGCATCTTTTCGAACCAGCTAAGATTGCTGTGATGAGTTATGGTAATGACTGACAGCAGTAAATTAATTTTAAACTTCAGTTTTGACAGGGTTAAGCTTACCTCAATGCAGGCAAAAGCTCTCAGCTGTCTCACTAGGTTTTCTGAACTCCTCATACTTGCAAAAAAAAAAAAAATTAAATCAGTAAACCCTGAAACTTGATATTAATTTTACAAAGTTAGTTATTTGATTTGTTTTTACCGGAAAACTAAACCATGACCACTATTCCAGTGAATGTTCTCCCTATTTACCTCTACCTGCAGCATTTCTACTTCTTTTCCAAAGGACTGGCACTCCCTTCCCCTTTATCTTCTTATCTCTCTATCTGTTTCATCCTTTTTACTGTATGTAGGAGCCAGACTCCATACGGGTAGATGATTGCTGCTGGTGGTGCTTTTAAGCTAACACAGTTCTCTTGCCTAACTCCTGGTAGTGATCCCTTTTATTTAGCTCAGAATTATGGTAAGCAGTCAGAAGTAGAAGAGTTAGTATCCACTCAAAGCACTGAGAGCCAGAGAAATACCTGGGTTTATATAGCTGCAACTCTACAGCTCTGTGGGCTGATAATAAACAGCAGCTCTTCCTTCAAAGTCATCATAGTTCTGGAAAAAATAGGGTCTGGGTGCACAGCTGAGCTCAGTCAAAAAAACCCCAAGATAATGACCTACTCAGGCAAAATACCTACTCTTGAAAACCCCCTGCCATGGACAGGGTCACGTTCCACTAGACTGTGTTGCTCAAAGCCCCATCCAACCTAGCCTTGGACGCTGCCAGGGATGGAGCATCCACAGCTTATGTGTGCGGTCTGTTTCTCTACCCTTTTAAAGTTTAAAACCATTACCCTTTGTCCTATCATAACAGACCCTGCTAAATAGTCTCTCCCCATCTTTCTTGTAGGTCCCCTTTAGCCACAATAAGGTCTTCCTGGAGCCTTCTCTTCTCCAGGCTGCAGAACCTCAACTCTCTCAGCCCTTCTCTGTGGCAGAGGCGCTCCAGCTCCTCTGAGCACTTTTGTGGCCCTCCAGATGGGGTTTCACAAGAGCAGGGTAGAGGGGCAGAATCATCTCCCTCAACCTTCTGCCCACGCTGCTTTTGTTGTAGCCCAGGATAATGGTTGGCTTTGTGGGCTACAAGTGCACACTGCCAAGTCATGTCCATCCTTTCATCCACCAGCACCCCTAAGTCCTTCCCTGTAGGGCTACTCTCAATCCCTTCATTCCTCAGCCTGTATTGATACTGGGGGTTGACCAGAAAATCACCACGAGGGTGGCTTGATTTAGTGAAAGCAGATGAAAGTAATAAGGCTGAGGATACTCAGTATCTTTTTTACGTCAGGGTTCACTGCCCAGGTTTCCCTGTCAGATGTACCTCGGGCAGGGTCAGTGGAAGTATCAGTAGTAGAAAAGGACTGAGTTGGGAATCCTCTCTGAAAGTTTTGTGAAGATTGAGGGAATTTCCTGGGGACTGGAGGAAGGCTGTTGAATCTTCAAAAAAGGCAGGAACAGGAATTAAAAGTTGATCATCTCCCCTTAAACTCCTAGGAAGATCATAGAGCAAGCTGCCTTGTAAGCAATTTCCAGTCACTTAAAGGAGAAGGTGGTGGCTGGAAATAGTCAGAATGAATTTACTAGGAGGGAATCACATCTGACTGACCTACTTGTCTCCTGTGATTAAAAGATCTGTGGATGAGGGTAGAGCAAAGTATGTTGTGTAGCTTGACAGCAGAAACCTTTTTGATGCGATCTCCAAGAACATTGTTTTGTCCAAGCTGGGATGTTATACTCCAGATGGAAGTACTGCCAGCTGGGTGGAAAACTGGCTCAGTCTCTGGGCACAAAGAGTAGTTGTTATTGGCTTGTAAACTGCCTGGAGGCTCATGCCAAGTGTAGGACTGCAGGGGTTTTATACTGGGACAGGTCAAACCATGTCCCGTGACGTCTCAATGCAGCTGCTGGCCTTGGCAGTGCACGGCTGAGCCGTGCTCACGTGTGGCCTTTGGCATCTCACCTGTGGGGATGCTGAGCACGGTGGGTGCACTGCACTCAGCAGCTGGGGATGGTAATGTTTTAAGCAGCAGAGCTTGAATAAACTGGGGGGTTCAACACAGGCAAACGAATGTGCCATGTAGACAGACTTGGCTAGTAGCTTATAGTGGTTTAATTGATATGTTTTTTCATGCAAATAGACTAAATAATTGAACTAAAAATAGTCAATATCAATTGATGGTTGTTGTCAGCCCTCTATTTAGCTATTTTCTATCTGTGCTAAATGGATGTGCATGTATTTGTAGGTTGTGCTAGATATTCTCTGACTATGAAATTGCAGCAGTAGGTTGTGAAACATGTATGAAATTAAAATTTTGCATGCATAGAGGGCATAAAAGTATGGATGGCTGTGAGGCTTTGCTATGCAGGACTATGATGTGCATTGCTAAATAGCTGGAAAAGCTCATCAGACCTTGCAAGGACAAGGAAAAAGAATCCTTAAATGGCTTTAAAATCTAAGCAAATCTTTCTAACTTCTTTTCTCACTAGTGGATTTCCCCTTACTCTAGGCTGAGAGCTGTTTAAAAGGAAGAATTTCAAGTTCTCACTTTTAAGTTTGGCAGCATTTTTATTATGTTTACATGTTATTTAATTCTATCCCTTGCAGGACCAGTGTGGGCAGGATGGATTCTGAGAAGGAAAAACCTGAAAGGCTTCAAGAAAGGGGGCTGGGCCAGGTGTCCAGGGATAGTTTTTATCCTTCTTTTTTTTCTGCAAATGGAAACCTCTTGCTATCTGTGAGAATCAGTTTTGGTGCAGCTTTTTGTTAATTTGAATGAAATCTGGTTTATGAAAATGGAGCATTTGTCATTGGTCTTGCCTTTCCTGTTGTGTTCCCTTCCTGCATTTTGAGTAACAAGATCCCAACTGGGAAAGGCAAATTAAAAGAAAGTTTGGGACTCTACGTGGGCACTGGAGCTTCTTTGAGACGTATAATTCATCTATACACCTCAGTTTTATATTTCTCAGTAAAACGAAATAAAACCCAAATAAAATAACAATGGGTACCAAGTGGGATAGCAGTGAAACTTCTGTGAGGACTGAATAATAGATCTCATAGTAAAATGCATGTGAAAAGACAAGGTCATAGTTGACAGTCCATTCACTGTAATGCTTTTGTTTATGCTATTTCTAATGTGTTATTAACTGGTTTTGCTCGTGTTTTGTTTTGCCTTTTTTGTTTTTGTAAATTAATGAAATTCTGTGCTTCTGCCTACACTGATCTTTATTCTGTAACAAATGAACAGACATCTACATCTCATGGTTATTACTGGGATGTTTACCAAGGCAATTCAGAATTTTTAGGAAATATTAGGAAAAGTATATGAATTATATTTATAGCCACTTGTATTCAATATGGAAAACAAATATTAATTCTTCAAAGAATGGAAGGACAGGGCTGCCCACAGTTTGGTAAAGGCTGTGATGTGTTGCCTACTCTAGTTGTCAGGGACTGTTGTCAGATTAGTTAAGCCTGGTGTTCTGTAAGGGAAAGAAAAATTATTCAACCACCAACGTAGTCCTGTTTCCATTAGAAGTTGTAATGTTCTTTATTTGTGTTCAATTTAATTTGGGGTTTATGTCTAACTTTTAATCACAGGTCAAACCTAGGAAAAGAACCTGAAAAGCTTCATTGGAGATTAAAAAAGTTTGAGTCCTAAATGTGACCAAAACAAGTGTTTTGAGATAGGTCTCTGTGAAAAGTACTTTTATAGGAAAACAAGCTTTAATGTTGTGTGCCTTTTCTTGCAGGAAATTAAAATGCATGACTGATAGTGAAACTGTTGCACCTGACTGGCCTTACTACAAAACCATTGATAGGATCTTATCCAAAGTGACAGACCACAGCGATGTGAAAATGCATGAAAATCAACAACCAGGTCCTTCTACATCACAGACAGAGGCTTCTCAGTCTCCATCAGCTAAGTCTACACCGCTGTATTTGCCATATAACCAGTTTACATATGAAGGAAGGGAAGAATGCTTTGAAGATGAACATTCAGAAAGCTCATCAAGCTTACTTTCTTACAAGCTGAGGTAGCATCTATTTTCCGCCCTTTCTTGTATTTTACAGAATGAACCAGATCTGCCCTGTAAAGGGGACACCCTCACACATTTTTCTCTGACAACTCTTGTGTTTCTTCTGTAAATCACGAATGACATCTGTTCTCCAGTATCAGCCATTTTGTTGAATTAGGGAATTTTCTTTATTTATTTATGAGAGACTGAAAGGGAGTAGGAGAACCGAGCAAAAAGTTGTATATTATTGCCAAAATTCAGCATGCATGTCATGGCTCACATCAGGTAGAGTGTTTATAATAGGAGTACAGGCATGATCAAGAGAGTCCTGTGGTGCAATCAGAGATATAACATACTGCTTACATGATTTTTGGCTTGCTCTGGTCTTGCTTTTGATATGGCTATGAAATTTCTCTGGCTTCAGTTGTTATTGAGATGGTGAAAAGATGCAAACTAAATATTTCTGTGGACACTGAAAAGCTATTCATGCAGTTTGAAAGTACATTGCAATGTTTTAAATACAATTGAGAACGTCATTTTTTTAAAAAGTAAATGCCAGTTTGAGATGCAAACATGTGTTTCCTTTTTTGATACGACTGGAGTTCTCTGGAAGGCAGAGTTTTAACAAAAGGCAGAGTTGTACTCCTGACACAGATTTTAGACTTTCTGGTCTCATTTTTCATCCAGAGTGGTGTGAAATAAGAGTTGATTACAGTTTTCTGGCAGGAAAAAAGTTGATCCTAGAGATCCTTATCACGAGGCTGTGGGGCTTTAACTGTAACAGTAAAATTACCTGTCAGTCATGCAATTGTGAAGATGTTGAGCTGGAAGAAGAACCAACCTAACAAGTTTGAATTATTGTTTCCAGACCCCCTCTTGGATGTATAAAACTAGGGTAAATTCATTCAATCATTCAAGCAAATAGTCCTTGAATAGCTGATTATTTTTTAAAACTTTTTTTTTTGGCAACTGCCTGTTTATTAAGGTGTGTAATTCTTGAACTGTAGCAACCCTTTTGTTCACAAAAAAAGATTTTTTTCATCCTAGTTCACTGTAAGTAGTTAATAGTTCTGGTACACAAACTCACTTGACTTTAGAATTTGCAAACTCCAAAGTCACATTTCAGATGCGATAACTTTATTCCCAATTAACTGTTTGATTCACAATAACATTAAATAATATGGAATTAGAAGGTTACTTTACCACAGATGTGGTAGAGTTTATTAACTAGACTATTTAAGAATGCAGGCATACTCTCACAGTCTCTACTATAAAAAAAATTTGTGCAATATAATATTGTGCATATTATTTAACAGCAAGATATGGACACATTCACAAGTTAAAATACAGCTCCACTTTTTTTAAAAAAAGAAAAAGTTGAGTGGCAGATACCACTTGAGAGATCAGTGTAATATTTCAGGTGAGCATCATGATCAGATTAAAAGCTAGAACACAGTTGTGATAATGGGACATGTATCTGGCAGGAAAAAGAATGTTATTCCAATAGTCAGAGGAGGTTGGAAAACCTTGTCCAGATTGTCCAGGATGAGAGAAGAGTAGGGAACCCTTTCTTGACCAGAAGGAAATACAGGAGTTGCTAATGATATCAGATGGGTTAAAATCACTTAGAGTTGCCATGGTAAGACAAGGAAGTTAATTCTTTTAGACTTACTAATGGAAAATTATGAACTGAAAAGCAATTTTCAGCCTAAGCAATTAGCATGTCATCCTGTATTTAAAAAACACTTGGAAATAGCCAACAAGAGAGTAAAGAATTACCATATAAAATTTGGGTCTGTCTTGGCTTTTTTTGTAAATGCCCTTTCCTCTAAACACACAAAAGGAACCGAAGACAATACTGGGATTTGAAATTAAAAGACTTTTTAGGTCCTCAATTTCCCTTTCTATTTTTGTGCTTAATGGCTGTGTAGAACAATTACTTTGAAAAATATTTTGAAAAATATACACACAAATCTATATGTAAAATATAGATGTGGTTTACAGCTGTATATTTTACAAGTTACACTATGGGAATTTTTTTTTTCAGTAATAAAAATCCTAATGTTATGACAACAAGAGGTAGTGAAAAAAACCTTCAAACAGTAGTTCTAAGTCAACTTTTAAACTTCTGAAAACTTTCCTGTAATTCCTTTAAAATCTCCAACACAGCTTTTGAGTGCCAGCTTTGTGTTTTGCACAGTATCCTTGAACATAGCAGGAAGCTACTTGGCTATATAAATTTTAACTTAAAAAAAATATTTCAATGTAATGTTTAGCTTTCATGATAGAGAAAAATGTCAAGTTTTATTCTTCAGTCAGACTAAAAATAGTTGAAACTGATTTTCTTTGCATTTTGTTTGAGTTTGGGACCTTCTTACAAAACCCAAATTTTGCTAGTTAGTGATAATACAATTAATGTGGGATAAAATTAATTTTAATTTTTCTTTCAATTTGCAAATGAGAAAAACATCTGGAATCCCTATATCTCTTTAATGAGGCGCCTGCTATTTTGTTAGCATTGTTCTAACACTGCTCTTGGGCTTCAACAAAGCTCGTGTTATACTGCATAAAACATCTGACAATAATAGATTTATTCTATTATGGCTGTATAATATATTGCCATGTGGCGGAGTCTTGCACTGCAGCTTAAACTTCTAAAATCCAAATTCCTGACACCATTATAAATGATGTTTTATGTAATTGAAAACAGTGTTTTTTCACCCTGTGGACTAATTTTCATTGTTAAAGTAATGGCAGAATATAATTATACAGGCTGTGAATGTGGTTCAGACTTCATCTGTTCTTCCATTTCTATTGCACTGAAAATGGGGGTGAAAGAGCTACTTTCATAGATTAAAAGACCATAATAAACCCACCATATAATCTAGTCTGACTTCTTGATAGATACCATTTGAATTTGGTTACTCTGGTGTGGAGCCCAGAAATCTTATGAAGACAGAGGGTTCTGTGCCATCCTTCCCTTAGCAGGGGACAACATGCCTCTGCTGTCCTCCACTTCTTTGTTTCTATGATTTGTTTGAGTCTTGGAAATGTTTTACTGGATATCCAGTCTGAATCTGATTAATTCTGAAGATGGAGAATTCACTCTTCCCTTGCTTCCAGTGATAAGTAAACCCTTGTTTGAACCAGTCCCTTGTTTCTGATGCAAATTTAGTGAATGACGCTGTCAGATGTTGCTTCTATTTACCTTTATTTTCACTATATCGGAGATCCTTTCAGTATTTTTTGCTTTTTGCCTCAGGGTAGTTGTGTACCATGATCACACTGTCTTTGGTATTCTTTAATTTTTAAATGTAGATTAAGTGATTTGGTACAGAAGGTTTACACGTGGAGAAAGAGTAAGAATTGGTAACATAAATTAACCAAGATATGAATTAAAAGAAATGCATTAAAACTTGGTGATCATGCTAATTCTGGAAAAAGCAGTTTTGGCAAAGCCTTTAATATTTCTAAAATTATGCCATGGCTATTTAAATCTGAATGGGCATAATCTACAGAGAAGTTTGAGCTTTAGGCTATGCACATTATGTAGTACATCTTAACTCATTATGCAGGCTTGTTATCATAGCAAGGTGCTTTGCCCAGGCTCCAAGCCATTTTTGTGGTTCTTTTCTATGCTTTACTTCAAGGATGAGCCTTGTTAATTCCTGAATGCATTTGGCTGTGTTTGAATGAGCTTAGTTTACCAGAAGATCCAGGTTGCCTGATCCTTGGTCCTTATACTCTGAAGATCTTTGTGCCATTTCCAATATTATTATTGCTTATTGCCAGATCACTTCTAATTATTTTTCCTAAAGATATGGGTTATGGAGGTCTGCTCAGGTTTGTACATAGCTAAAAAAGTGCAAACAAGCAGGAAACAGCTGTTAGGTGTTGAAACCCATAAATTCCAGAATCTGATTGTACTGGAGACCCATTTGCCATGAGGTAGTAAGAAAGGGGGAAGTAAGAAAGGAAGAATTCTTGTTATGGTTTTGTGGAGGTAATACATTTTGATAGATTACTCTTTGTATTCAACTCCTGCTTGATTAATTATTCACACACATCCCTGAACAAGTCCCATTGGATAAGTGTAAGCAATCAATCAAGGAACTTTTAATTGAACAGTGAATTAAATTGATATTAGATAGGCAGACAACAAATGCATTTGAGACTTGCCTAATATCTTGCCTGATGGTATCTGGAGGTTTGGCTTTCTTCCCCCTTGTGTCCAATACACACTGTTCTTTCTGCTCAGCCTCCTACATGAGGTGGAACATTTTCTTTTCCTTGGTTGGCTTCCTTTGAACCTTGCCTCTCTGTTTTAGAACATAGCATGGAAATAGCTTCGTGAGTTTCTACTTGGAGCATGATGCCTGTGCCAAAGCTCTTCCCTACTTTGTTCATGTGGCCAGGGGAATGCCAATGCCAACCTTTTGGAGGCTCCCTGACATAGATACTGGAAGTCCAAGAGTATCAGCAGATTGTATTAGAGGTCCTTGATTTTCTAGGCTCCTCTTTCCCTCCAGATCTTGAAATTTACCTTCAGAGTCTAGGCTTGGCAAGGAGGGAGATGCTTCTTTGGCAGGGGCTGTGGATACTGTCGTGAGCTCTCCTTCAGGAGCTATTCTGCAAGAGGAGAGGATTGTAATTGCCAAGTCCTTACTATAAACTTGTGAGTGACCACAGAACCCTCTCACTGACAGTCACTATGGCTGGAAAGAAAAGGAGATCAGGACCACCACCAAAGCCAGGGATTCCTGAAATAAGTATTTCTTTTCAACGAAGGCTGTCTAATTACCAAGTTGTGTTTGTTAATGGTAAACAAATAGAGAGAGTACTTCCGAGACCTTGATAAGAATCCTTGTTCTTTTGGGGGCACTTCTCTGTGCTGAAAGACGATTTTGATCTAGCACTCATCAGTGGATACTTTCTTAGTTATTAACAGACTGAAGATGCTGCTGACACAGTTCCCCAGGTAGCTGCCATCGCCACCAGACATTTTGCTACTCTTTTCTCTCTGGGTCTGTGCAGGACAGTTACTGTCTTGGATGTATGGTATTACATCTTACAGGTTTTGGATGGATCACATTTAACTGAAAAACAGGTAAAATCCTTTGCAGACTCTAGGAAAGTATGATTCAAAGTTTGTTTTTTTTTCTCTTGAAAATAAGACTTATTTTAATTTTTTCAGTCTAACTCACTCCATCTTTATTTTTCATGGGGTCTTTTGTTGGTCTCAATTGAAATTAAAAACCAAATAGCAGCCACGAATGCTAAGAAAGCCACACAATACTCAGTGCATCTCAGTACCATTGACAAGCCTCAGATTTTCTCTCTCATTCTTTATTAAGGACCATTCTTACCAGGGCTTACTTTGACAACACACAAGCCCTCTTGTGGCTCTAGGAGTGAGTTCCTACTTGTTTCAAGACAAGAGGTCTTGCCATAGCTACTTTGTACCACTGTGTTAGGGAAGAGGATAGAGATTCATCAGGTTTTCAACATTTAAATCCTCTGTGAAGACAAAAGGTGACTTTGGCTAAAATAATATCATCATTTCAGAAAGGTTCTTGCTCTGCATACCAGAACTTGTGCACTCTTTGTGAATGTGAGTTCAGTGATGGGAACCTTGGAATAACAGATTCAGTGTTGTCCTTAGACATTTGCCTGACCTCTTTGAGAACTACATGTGAAATAATTCTGTCCCTTAGAGTTAATGAGGAGAAACAGAATTTGGTGTCAGCCAAGACCTATTCTCACAAAATTGGCTGTGATAATTTTGGTCATCAGTGGCAAGCTTGACTCACAGTTTGAGCAGAGCAGCATATATTTATTTTATGCACAATTTTTTGATGCCCCAAATCAAATATGCTATATAGAACCTGCAAAGGTGAGTTTATTTTTCATACCTTCCAAAGTTTTGTTTAGCATAAAGATGATAGCTTCTCCTTTCCCTTAGCGTCGCCGTAGCAGCATAATGTTGATGAAGTCCTTTGAGTTGTACAAGTAACTTCAAAGTCTTGGATAGTCTGACAGCCAGTGGTCTTTTTTCACCCTTTTAGTGTACATTTATGAAGGAAGACTGTTGCTCGTTCTTGCCTGTGCAGAGAGGGGCAGCACATTCAAATGACTAAACAGTACTCTCAAGAACAGTTTCCCTCAAGACCAATTCTATTTTTTTTTTCCTCTAAGAATTTAATAGCATTTAATTTAATTACTTGTTTCTTTCCATAGACCTCACCCTTTCTGGGTCATTGCACTCTTAAATGTCAAGGGGCTTGTGTCTTTTTCTTATATTTGCGTTAAGTCTTTCAGGTGCTTAGGATTGTTTATTTCTCTTGCTGAGAGATCTGAATGTCATAGTCACTGTTGCACAAAGCCTGTCAAGTAGGATAAGAACATGAATGAAAATATGATACAAATCTGCCACAGCTGAGTGACCTCCCCTCCACTACTGTTCTTCACATTAATAAAAACACATTCCTCAAGAGTTCCAGTTATCCTTATTCAAGGATGTCTTAAAATCTGCAAGATGTTGACATGGCATACTAGTCACAAGTGTGCCATCTCATTACTGCATTTCACCTAGAAAAGATACTGCATTTGGCAGAACACCACTGAGATGGCTGTTTGTGTCAAGGAACTTCAGGACACATCATCAGATAACTTTGATGTTGGGGACTCCAGTCTGGAGTTACAAAAAGCCTGAATGAAGACATGGACTAGCACTTGAAGTTAGAAAAGAAGTTATCCACCTCTAACTGGAGGTTTCTCAGATGTGTACTATACTTACACATATTCCTTCTGCTTGCCTTTCTTCCTCCTTCATGTTTTAGCATGACTCTTTCTTAGATTACAGGTTAAGAGCAACAGATCTCTTTGTGTGTTCTCACTTGTATGCAGTGTGGGCTGGTTTTCAATCCATGTGTTGTTCAGTCACCCTAAGTTAGGACAGCCATGTGAACTATACACCTTGAAAGCATTGTCTTTATTGCACGTTTATCTCTCTTCCCAAACAGAAACTCAGAATGATACAGCATAGATGAGATTCTTAAAATATTGCCCAAATTCCACATGGCAGTTCTACAAATTTCAGATGAGGATGTACAGTTTGATACACTCTTGTCTAACTTCCATAACCTGAGAGAGAGTTATTCTGCCACAGAAATGTCAATGTGACTGGGTACATAGACAGACTTGAATTCAACCATCAGGTGTTTTGCACCCTCAGCTTCCTCAGCTGCTCCTTGTAAGACTTGTGCTCCAGGCCCGTCCCCAGCTCTATTGACCTTCTCTGGACATGCTCCAGCACCTTAATGTCTTTCTTGTCATGAGGGGCCAAAAAGTGATCCCAGAATTTGAGGTGCCTCAGCAGTGCCGAGTACAGGGGGACAATCACTGCCCTGGTCTTTCTGGCCACAGTATTGCTGATCCAAGCCAGGATGCCATTGGCCTTGGCCACCTGGGCACACTGCCAGCTCATGTTTCAGCTGGCTGTCAACCAGCACCCCTAGGGCTTTTTCCACCTTTTCCAACTTTTATGTTGTTTATAATGTTTTGTGATGAAATATAAAAAAAGAGTGGTCAGTGCAACTGCTGTATCTTGGTGCAAGGGCGAATTCCAAGACTAATATCCTGTAGTGGGACCAGCCTTACTGATGCAATGCTTTAAAAAACAAGCTGTAAGTTACCACCACACATAACTGTGTAGCACTTTTTCTCAACTGGATGGTTATTGCAGCTTTAAAATTGGAGTTTCAATGGCCACATAAGCCAAATGTCTCTCCCAATACAGTGTATAAATTCAGTGTGTAAGAAATGTCAAGATTAAAAAAAGAAAAAAAAGCCTGGTATTCCACAGGGAAAGTTCTTATTAAAAACAATGAGATGTAAAAACTTTTTCTTTTTATAATCTGTAACACCATGCAATAATACTTACGTTTTGGCATGAACTTGAGAGGGAATTTATTGGAGAACATGGGAGTTTAAAAATACAACTAGGTTGTAGCTTGGCCAAGAATGTGCTATAGAATTTTAGGTTCTAACTTTTTTCTTTTTAATATAAATATGAGTTTAATTGTTAACAAATATTCACATTTCAGAGCTGAAGAGAGACCAGTTAAGAAAAGAAAAATGCAAAACTGCAGCTTCCAAAAGAAGAAGCTAAAATTAATGGAAGCTATGTTGGAAGAACAGAAGAAGTTGAGTAGAGCTATGGAAGAAACCTGCAGAGAAGTACGCAGGATCCTGGATCAGCAAAACATCATTCAAGTTCAAAGCTTACAGTTACAGGAGAGAATGATGAATCTACTGGAGAAAATGATCTCCAAATCTAATGTGTAGTTTCCTTTGTGAATGCCTCTGAGATTACTATTGCTACTATAGATAACCCTTTATTGCACACCATATGTGTGTCTGTTGCTCTATTCCCAGGTTTTCCATGGAAATTAAAACCCTAGTGTAATCTTAGTTAAGCAAAAGAAGAGATAATGCAGGGCAAGAGCTATCCAGTATGATAAAATTAGTGCAATATATGCCTAAGTTGAATTATTTTTATACAGAAAGGTTAAGGGATGAATAGCTCGGGGAACTGAAGTACTGTTTATGCCTAGGTCAGGTATTGTTTTGCAAACAGTGGTGTTGTATATTGCTTCACATCAAGGACTACAGCTTGATCTGTTTTCAGAGAATGAAACAGTGCATTTCTAAACATGGTAATTGCACCTTGACTTTGCTGATGATTAAACCCTGTTTTGAAACATATGCCTGATTGTATAAGTGACCTATGGTTTTTGTGAAGAGCTAGTTGGGACCGTGAGGTACATCCTTTTAAACTCCATGCCTGATATGAATAGTACTCTAAAGTATTAGGGTAAAAATAATCTATTCAAATACATTTTTTGATATAAAAAGAAACCCCCCCCCAACCACCTTACTATATACTGAATACTAAAATGTATAGAAGATACTTGAAGTTGCTTTTGATATTAAACGTTTAATTTTTTTCATTATTAACTGGAATCTGTTGACTTAACCAGCAATGAAAACTCGCATTTATTCTCTATCACAAAAGAAAAAATATTGTACTGTGTGTATATACATATATAATGTCTATCAAATGAAATAAAAAAAAAAAGAAGACTCTTACTTATTATTGCTGTGCAGATAGTTTGCTTTGGGACAGCAGAAAATACTGGGAGCGATAACCATGGTCAGAGGTTTACAATTATTAATTGCAGTGTAAAGATCTCCTATGCTGATGCCCAAAATACAGAGATGGAAGTCAAGAAGAACATTCAACTCCTCAACAGCAGTATTTGCTGCTGGCACGGCTCCTGTGTGTGTTTAGATGTTTGAAGGGGGGTCTGTAAGGCAGATCGACGTGGATGCACCACACGAGGGAGCCGAAGGCATAAAGGACTGTGTCTTGGGAGTTAAGATGAAGCACCAGCAAGTGTTTGGCTCTTCAGTGAAACAAGACATTTAAATACCCCTAACCTTAAATTCAAAAATTCACTGGCTGAATTTCCTATATACCATTTCTTATTGTGTTCTCCTTGAAAAACATGTTTCTGCTGCATTTATTGTATAGGCAAGAGTGGAGACTGGATTCAGGTATAGAAACTATAGAATTAGTACTAGGAACTCAGGCCATTTTCCATTCTTGCTATTCAATAATGTCCCCTCTTGAAACTTTGCCTTTGAAGGTGTTTGCATTCTCCTATATAATTTAATGTGTTGTTGCCTCTGCTAAGGTAAACTAAACTATTTTAAATCCAGACACAGCAAATTAATCTCTAATTATACTTGCTGAACAGGATAAAGGTTATGCTCAACAACCAAATTAATAATACATGGAGATATTTCTTAGAAGATCCTGCAGGTATGAAGATTAGGAGTTATTAAATATCTAAATGTGGCCCATTCCTACAGAGTTTAATTAACGATAACGGGATAAGGCAAATTTAGTAGAAAACTGAAATTGCAGAAGGTGGTGGCTGCTGAAGTATAAACAAAATAACTTTCCTTTACTACACCTTTACTACAGTAATTGCATGATTAGAAAAGTGTCAAGTATCTGTTCTGATTCTGCAGAATAGTTTTATACATTTCGAATGTAGATCTGTCAGAGATTCAGGTGAGCTGATGTATCCATGTTGTAGTGCTTCCTGACACTTTAATGTGTTTAGAGTAAGATATAAAGAAACTCTCCCCTGGCTCCACGGGAATTAATAATATTTACTGATACTATCTACTTGAACCATATAGCAATTAAATCCAATTAATGAGCAATAACAATGGCAACATATTTGAACCTTGTACCAAAGAGTAGGTAGCCCCTCTCCTTGCATGTTATTACAGGTCCAGAGCTTTAGGAACACAGGAATGGAGGAAATCTACTTATTCCTTGCCTGCTAACATAAGGAACCATGTCATATAATCCCTTTGGTAAATGTGTGGACCTGTATCTTAAAATGAGTCAGATGTTTTATCCTCCAAATTATATGCATCACAGATGGGTAAACTGCCATTTAGAAGATTGCTTCTGGGATTATTCCTGATCAATTTATACCAATTTCTTCTTGTATCAGCACTGGTTTTGCCGCTTTATGTGGTGGTCAGTCTTGAGAGCCGGATGTTGTCTCCCAAGCAGCCCTTCTGATGGATAACACTCTTTTGTAAGGTAGGATTTTGATGACTGTTTTGTTAATTTTGCTCTGAGTTCATCCATTTTAAAGGTGAATGACCAGAATGATATACAGCATTCTAGATGAGACTCTGAACATTGTCTTACATAACCGCATTAAAGGAATTGGTGTTTTCTGGAAGTTGTGAGATTTTTTTCTATATAAAACATCATTTTTATTAGTTAAATTTAGTAGTTCAGTTTTAAAACCTCATCTCTCAAAAAAGGCTTTATTCCCATCAATGCAGATTATCTGTGTTTTAGCCCTGGTTTTGCCTAGAGAGTGAACATGGCCCTGCTGTAGACAAATATTATTGGTTTCATGTATGATAGAGTTTTTCTAATGCTTTTTGACAACAGGCTGAAAATTCCTTACCTACCTATAGTTCTTTTTGCTGCTGTTTCATTTGTTTCATTTCATCTTCCTGTAAAGATGGAACATTTACTTGAACAAAAAGTTGAGTGTTTTTTTCTGGGGATTTTTTTATTTAAGGTAGGCACATCTTCCTCATCTCTATGGGACAGTTAGCTGCAGGTATAGGTATTTGAATGTTTGAGATATTCAGACTAATTATAACTTGAAAGACCTGCCTAGAATTAAAATGCCTGGTAGAATTCCTGGTTTTGCAAAACAGAGACACTGCCCCTGTGTCTGTATGAGTAGAGAGTTGAGTGTAATAAATGTTCAAGAGGAGCATGTCAAGGGTTATTCAAGTTTATCATGACATTAAAGGAACTTCCTCATGGCTCCTAGAAGTGTGATCAACAAATAAACTGTAGCATAGGAAAATAAATTTCTTATTTTCAGGGCAGTAATGGGGTCAAGTCAGTATGACACTGCTTTCACTAAATGCAGTGCCTGTATTACACACACAGATGGTGCAAATGGAAAAATTAGATAGCGGAGGAAATATACTGCCTGGAGGCAGGTGACTTTTGTAAGTGATGCAAAAATAGAAGGAAAAGGAGCCTGAGGAGGCAAATGAGGAACATGCAAGCAAGTAAGGAGAAGCAGATTGCAGTGAAAGATGGGAAAATACATGTTGGGCAAAGGGGCAATGTAAATGCCTCCAAACAAAATTAGTAAAGATGGGTGAGAAGGAACACAACATTTTAAAAGACAAGAAAGTGAAAATAAAGAAAAAGCATAATGTTGAAGGAGAAAAGTCAGAGGATGAAAAGCTAACACTAGTGAAATTCTGTATATTTTGAATAGACAGCTCCTACAGATAACTTAGAGAAGTTATAAATTGTGTACAGCAAGAAATGACGTTTTTTCCCACCGGAGAAAAATAAGTCTCTGGACCAATATTTGGAAGCAAAAATATTTTTTACAAACTAGAGAGATTAAGTAATTTGCAGGAGGATCCCATTATAATTAAACAGCATTTTCTCATTTGGTTTTAACAATTTTTTGGTTAAAATAGTTTGTAACTGTTTTTTTTTTTTTTTTTACTTCTTGACCTCAAATTGGAGAAGCATTTTAAGATTTCAATTTATTTCAGGCCTTGCCAAGTTTAACAGTTACCCACCAAACCACGCAATATATTTATGGACAGGAATGTCTTTTATAATTTTCTCCATAAACTGGTGTCTCTTTTGCAAAGTACAAAACCAGCAGAAAAAAATGTACACAGGATTTAAAAATTATATTTCCAGACTTAGTCTGCCCAATTTGGTGTAGGCAAATAGCTTACAACTCTGTAACCCAAAGTTGACAGCCTGGTTCTGTGAACAGTCCCATTTCTAAAGACAATGGGACTACTCAAATGAATAAATATATTGAACTCTGCACGTATATGTTTGCGAGATCAGTTCCTATGCTGATAATGTAATGTGAAAGGCAAATTTGAAAAAGAAATTTAGGAACATTTGGTGGTGTTATGTCAGCAAGTAAATACTAACCATCTGGTCTCTAGATTGCTAATCTATTTCCCCTGATTTTATGGGTAGCATACTTCCTGTGTGTGCAAGCTTGAGACTACATCATTAAACTTTTGTGTTGATCTTTTTCAGTGTTTTAACAGAAACATTTAAAATACTTTGCCATTTTGGATGTGAAATTTTCTTCCCATACATAATTTTTCTGGTTGGAAATTTTTCATTCTACTGCAGCTTGCTTTAAGGTGTTTTATTGAACCACATTTCTAATAAGGATGAATAATTTCAGGTATGTTCTTTAAAAAACAGACCAATAATCTGCAGTGAATGACATCATTATGTAGGACCAAGTAATTACTACCTATAGGATCTCAGTTTGATCCTAGTAAAAAGTGATGCCATATCATATAGTACCAGGTTGGAAGGGACCCTGGTCCAACCTTTCTTGGCAAAAGCATAGTCTGATTGTTCTCATTGTGAAAAAATGTCCTCTTTTGTCCAATCCCAGGACAGAATTTCCATCTTCTTTGTAGCCAACTTTTAAATACTGGAACATGGCAATAAGGTCTCCCCTAAGCCTTCTTTTCCTAAGGCTGTACAAAACCAGTTCTCTCAGCCTTTCCTGTTATGGTAGGCTTCCCAGTTCTCTGATCACCTTTGAGGCCCTTCTCTGACTGAAGACTGTATTCCAGGTGTAGCCTGGAGTGCTGAGTGGGATAATGCCATGTTGATCTCTGCTGGTGATGGCCTTGTTGGTGAAGCCCAGCATCCTGTTGGCTTTCTCTGCTGCAGCAGCATCACCCTGTTCACTTATATTGAGCTTGTTGTCCACCAGGACCTGCAGGTGCCTTGCCACAGACCTGCTCCCCAGCCAGAACGATCCCAGTCTGTGCTGCACTTCTGGTTTGTGTTTTCCAGGTACAAAACATTATACTTGTCCTTGTTGAACTTAATAAGGTTCTTGTTAGCTCACTCTTTCAGCCTACCCAAGTCTTTCTGCAGAGTGGCTCTCCCTTCCAAAATTTCCACTTCCCCACTCGGTTTGGTGTTATAAGCAAACTTTATCAGGGTACACTTGATCCCATCATCCAGATCTTTTATAAAGATATTGAACAGCCTTGAACCCAATATAGATCTCTGGGGGACCCCACTTGTGACAGGTGATCAGTTTGAAAAAGAGCTATTTACAACCATCCTCTGGGTGTGGCTGGTCAGCCAGTTCCCCACCCGCTGCATGGACCATTTGTCTAGACACTAAGACATCAATTTCTTTAGGAGAGGGCTCTGGAAATCCATTCTGAAAGCCTTGGAGAAATCCAGGTAGATAATGTCCACTGCTCACCCCACATCAACCAAGCAGGAGGTCGTAGGAGGAGATCAGGTTTGTCAAGCACAATTTGCCCTTGGCGAATCCCTGCTGGCTTTTCCCAATCATGTGCTTCATTTGACTTGTGATAGCCCTCGGGAGGATTTCTTCCACAACTTTCCCAGGGACTGAAGTAAAATTGATGGGCCTATAATTTCCTGGATCTTCCTTTAAGCCCTTCTTGTAGATAAGGTGACATTAGCTT